CCCTGGTCGTGCCACCCATCACCCCCCCCTGCTTTTTAGAGCGCTTCTCCTCGAAGAGCACCCGCTGGTGCCGCTGGCACTGCTGGACGGTGCAGACACAGCAGATGCATCGCTGCTCGTCCTCACAGTACAGCTCCAGTGGGCGCCCGTGCTGCAGGCACAGCTCGCGGTGGGTCACCTCACACCTCTCTGTGCCCGAGACCCGCGCCTCGCCATCTCTCGCCAGCTCCACCACGTTGCCCAGGGTGACATTCTTCTCCAGCTCCGGGCGCTGCTCGAAGCCCCTGCGGCACTCGGGGCACGTGTAGCCCTTCTTGGCCCCAGCGGGCACCTGCTCTTGCTTGTGCCAGTGGTCGTTGATGCAATGCTTGCAGAAATTGTGCCCGCAGGGCAAGGTCACGGGTACCCTGAACAGCTCCAGGCAGATGGAGCACACCAGCTTCTCCTCCAGCTTCTGCAAGACGGGTGATGCCATCCTGTCTGCACTGGGACCGGGGCGATGGGGGAAAGAAGCCGGGGAAATAGAAACTCAGCTGTGCAGAGGAGGAAAAGATGGTGACGCTGAGCCCAGAGGCGGGTCAGGGCTCCGGGCCAGGCATGCTCTTAAAGAGACACCCAGTAGGTGCCCCCTCGGCTCTGCCACGCGCTGTGGAGACGATGGGGAGGGTGGGAGCTGCTCCCCCTGGGGACAGGGAGAGATGTGAAGCACAGCAGGAGGCCCCGGAGAGGGTGAAACGCTGCAGCGACAGCACAGGGAGACACATGCAAGAGGCTGACAAGGTTCAGAGCTATGCGTATTTCCGTGAACGTGTTTGCACGGGTGTACGTGCAACATATAATTTGATTTCACTCCTTTTTTGCCCTTTGAGGGAACTTCCCGGCATCCTCACCTCTGCCAGGGCAGGGTCCCCGAGCAGAGCATGGCAGTCCCCCCTGGCAGAGGGACCTCAGTACAGCACTCCTGGCATCTGCCAGCCTGGGAACCAGCAGAGAGGGGCACCCACCGCTGCTGCAGCCACGTGTCACCTCCCTCGGCAGTGACAAGGCCTGTGACGCATGCCAGCAGCCGGCCAGGGCCACGTTCCGCCCTTGCATCTTTCCATTTTCAACTACAGCTCCTGCTGTTTGCACATGCCCCTGTGCGCACCCCCTACTCCTTCTCCTACTGAGTTCCTTGCAACACCCGTGCACATCAGTACTCCAAAACGTGAGAAAGATGTCATCTGGGCAACCAGTCCCTGCTCAGGTGGCAGGTGGAGCCTTCTGCCCGGAGGCGATCGCGGCGCCCGAGCACTGCGTACCTTCACCTTGTCTTCACGCAGTTCAGTTTCAGAAGAAAAAGCTCCCAACCTCCCAGTCCAAACCTTATCTCCTTACCCTCGCCGATGCGCTATCACTCGCGCCCACGCTCCCCGGCAGCTGAAGGCTGGCAGGACGGCCTCGGTTTGCGACTGTTCTGCAGCCTCCCCGCACGCGTGGCTTTGCTTTTACCCACGCAGGCGAGGGTGAGCGGGGAGGGGGTCTGTGCTGCAGCTGGGGCGCTCACCAGCCGGCTGCTGGGGGGGGTCAGAGCAGTTTCTGTACCACAGGCAGGCTCGGAGCCACCCCCCGGACCGCCCCTGGACTCAGGAGGTGACTTGGGATCTACCACAACTCCCTGCACGTCCCAGCGTAGCTTCAGCCCCCCAAACATTTCTTGGGGCTGAATCTGCAAATTGACACAACCTGTGCACCTGCCTGGAACCGCAGGACACCTGCACTCCCACGGCGGTCACCTCATGAGCTAATTCACCCTGGCTTAAACCAGACCCCAGAACCCTTCGGGGAGGGAGGAGAGTTCAGGGAGCTCAGGCACAGCTGGTAACGGCCCTGAGCAACAGCGGAGGGGGGTGGTGGGGA